CAACCCAGGCAGTGTGATGCCAGCATCCACCTTCCTGGCTTTGAGTCCCTGGCTTTGAATGGCCATCCTGCCTGGACCTGTTCGAGGTCTGTGGACTGCTGGCACTCTCCCTCTAACCTTTGCACACTGGCCCCTATCATAGACACTTGGCCCCTTCCAGCCACACCTGGCCTTTCTCATCCACGTCAGGGGAGGATGGCCTCTCCTGCTGTCTTCCCACCTTGACAGCAATGAGAAACGAAGACTGTCCTACAAGAAGACCAAGGAAATTCCTATCTGCCTTCTGGGGTGGTCTAGCTTTTGGGTGGACCCCAAAGAATACTTTCTTCAGGAACTTTTTTGTTTAAACCAGTATTCCTGACAGGGGTGTTAGCTCTGAAATTACTGTTTGAAACAAGTTTGAGGAAGAGGAGGAGGCAACCTGGGACCCAGTAGCATCAAACATCTTTCACTCCCTGGCTGGTGGGACACAATCATTCCTAACAGCACCCGTTAGGCGTCATTGACCACACCCCCAGAGCCTCATGAATGCTGGTGAGAAGGAAAGGAAAGCAAGTTCAGACAAGCCATATATGGCATGTGAACAGTCCTGCTTCCTGTCGGTCGCTAACACCGAGCTGCTCAGTACAGCACAATGATAGGAAAACGCTGAGCGTACAACAATGAAGCAAGGAATAAACAGCGCCCAAGTTTTTCTTGAAACCAACATATGCGGCTTGGTGGACTGTAGTGTTTTATTTATATTGCTATGCAACGGAGGGGAAAAAAAATAAAGGTGATTCCAGTGAGAGGCACAGGCCTATGCCGTGCTATCTGATTATAGTGTCTGAATTTAGACATGACAGATGGTGGAAGGGGTTCCATGTTAGACATCAACCATGATAACAGAAATGAATTTAGTGGGGTTCATGACCAGGCTCTACTTTTGTTTTTAAAAATGTAGTGGTGAATACAGTTGGCGGCCCTGGGCTGGCAGAGCTGTGCTGGCTCTGGCAGGATCTAGCTGAATGTTTATAAAATCAGGAGCACAGCCTAGGGAAACTTACTTAAACCAAGCTGCCAGAGGAGCCTGCAAATCGATTTGTCAAATTGCAGATCACAGAACCCACCCGCCCGCCCCCCCACCTCCTTGCCTGCCTTCTGGTGAATTCCTGATAAGAAAGAGTGTGGTCACCCAAGGGAACAAACTGCAGATCACAGAACACACCCACCCCCCACCTCCTTGCCTGCCTTCTGGTGAATTCCTGATAGGAAGAGAGTGCGGTCAAAGAGGGGGACTTTATAGCTCAGAAGGGCAGACACCCAAGCATGCCAAGGGGTGCGTGAATAAGACACGTGAAGTCACAGCTAAAGCTGAGTCTTCGAGGAAAACCAGCCCCCACCCTCTGCCCTTCCACAAACTTCCCACAAACCCCTCCAACCAGGAAAAACAACTTCAGAAACTAGGGTGGGGCTTTTCCTGGAATCAGGTTCCCTCAGTTACAGTGAAGGCAGATATCTAGTTAGATAATTTATCCAATAATTTGGATAAATTTTTTCCCCTAAATGATGATGTACCGGTTTCAGCTGGCCCTTTCCCTATGGTGGTGCATGTCTAAGACTCGGGAGAGCCTCCATAACTGCGCTGTTCAGACACTCTCGGCCCCACCCCCCCATGGAGTTGGGAGAGAGGAAGGCCCTATACCCCCTCCTGGGTTCAGTCTGTGCAAACAAAGGACAAATCAACAGGTAATGTGCAGGAAGAGGTAGATCAATCTTTCAGATCATTGATTATCAGTGCAAGTTGGGAAGGCCGTTGGTTCCAAGTGCTCTAAGCTGCAGACTCATTCATTCATTCTACGCATATTTACTGAATGCCTCCTGTGTGCTGGGCTCCGTTCTAGGCCCTGCAGATATAATTGTGAACATAAGAGGAAAAAAGAAAAAAAGAAAAAAAAAAAAAGCCTGCTCTCAAAGCATTCCAAGTTCGAGTAGAGAAAATTCACAAGTACAAATTGAGAGGATAATGTGTAGTCACCCTACAACAAAGACAAGCTCCAAGTCATTTGGCGAACATAGATGCTATTACCCCAAATTAAGGGACTCAGGAAAGAGAGTTTAGTTTTACTGGATGCTCCTATGTGCAGGCTCTAATAACATAATAACAGGCACAAATAAATAATGTTTTTTGAGCACTTACTATGTACTAGGTTCATAAGAAGATGAGGTCAGGCACTTCACACCATTTTGTTTTAATCCTCCTGAAAACCCTATTGCCCTAATTGTATAGATGAGCAAACACACACCTAGAAGTAAGAATAACTTACTCAAACACACCCTGCTTGGGATCTCTGCCCTCGAGCCTGACCCCTTTGTCAGATGGTAGTCACGCTCAGCCTCGTGCTGTTTGTCTCTGGTAGGTGGCATGTCACCCCCCTTGCCTTGCCCACCTTCATTCTACCAGTCCTCTGAGGTCCAGCTTAAACACCTTATTTTTCAGGACAGCTGTCCTGACTCCTCACTGTTGCTGCAATCCTTTCTCTGAACTTTTTTTTTTTTTTTTTTAAAGATTTATTTCAGAGAGAGAAAGAGAGAGAGAGAGAGAGCATGGGGTAGGGCTTGTTAGACAAGAGAGAGGGAGAGAGAATCTCAGGCAGATGCCTCCCTGAGCGCTAAGCCCAATGTGGGGCTCCATCACACCACTCTGAGATCATGACCTGAGTCCAAAAATCAAGAGAGTCAGGCACTTAACTGACTGAGCCACCCAGGCACCCACCTTTCTCTGAACTCCTTCATTAGATCCTATATATAAAAGGTCATGTCTAACCCCAGTGGCTAACACATGGCAAATGCTCAAACATTGCTTTGTTCCTGCTTACCTTCTTTACTATGTATGGCCAGAAGTGTGACATTTGTCACTTGATTATATACTTCTTAACTTTTTGTTCTAAATACATTGGACTTGTTTCCTTAGCAACATTGGCAGCTTAGGGAACAGCATTTTATATTTATAAATTATATATACTGATTTATATTTACATATTATAAATTATCTTTATAATATTTATTTAATAATTGTTTGACATTGGTTCTCAAGCTTAAGAAAGCATCAGAATTATCTAGAAGGCTTGCAAACATAGACTACTTGGTCCCTCCCCCAGAGTTCCTGCTTCTGCTGGCCTAAATGGAGCAGTGAATGTACATTTCCGACAAGTTCCCAGGAGATGCTGATGCTGCTAGTCCAGGAACCACCCTCTGAGAACCACCACTTAAGAGTGTAATGTGCCACAGTGCTTAGGACCACAGAGGCTGAGTCAGAGTCCCACTTCTGCCACACACTGGCTATGTGACCTTGGGCAAGTCAATCTACATGTGTGCCTCTGTTTCTTCATGAGTAAAAATGGTGATAACAATATTATATACATGAGCATCACCATCAGGATTGAGTATAATAATGAATGCAGTGTGCTTAGCACTGTCCCTGACACACTGAAAACATTCAATAAATGCTTCCTATGATCCCTGGAAAGGCTGGCACAGCATCAGGCACTAAATAAGCACTGAGCCCAGCCTGAGAAGTCCTTCTGAGGCTGAGAGAAAACTTGTTTTGAATTTGTAAGCAGTGAGAGCGAAGGGTGTCACCGAAGCATGACATCTATAATTAACAGCCTTTTAAATTAAGCAAACATAAAGGACCTTTAGAAATGTCCCTCCCTGTAGTATGCTGAGTGTAAATGCCCGGTGTACAAAAACTATGTGTGTTTTTAAAATTCAGGGGCCATCTTTGGGGTGCCTCCTTCACACCTTCCCCTGCTGAAGGATGCAGAGCATGGCAAGTTGTCTTATGAGAGGTTAGAGTTGCTGGAGTCACCCAGGCATCTGGGCTAATGGGTTGGCAGACACAAGCAGAGCTCATCATTCAATAATTAATTAGTTGCAGTCATGGGAAGACAAACTCCCTGGAGCAGATAGGACAATCACCACCCTCCCCTCTCCTAGTTGCTTCAGAGCACCCGGGCTGCTGCTGTTCCCCACTAGCGTTAAGAACCCCAAACAATATTTATATTTTCCCTCAGGGTCTAACTGACTGACAGTTTCTTCAGAAAGCCCAAGAGGAATGTGCAGACAAGATAATTTTTGCAGTCCTCCAGAGCCTGAGACAGGGTAACCAGGGAATATAGGGATGGTCTGGCCCTAACCTTGTCCCAATAATATGGGAGACAAGGGGCATGGCCCCTATCTCTCTGTGAACCACTAATCCGGGGAATGTTGGTTCAGTGCGAAGTTGAATGAGATCATCTGTGGTATTTAGCAGAGGCTGTGGGCTAGGGGCTGTTGGGAGATGCTGTTGCCCTTTGGAAGCCCCTCTCTTCTGTCCGTTCGCTTCAGGGAAGAGTATCACCACCTCCTCGCAGCCAGGTACCCTCCTCTAACACCCAGAATAAGCACGACAGCTGCCCCCCTCCCACCATTTTCACTCCTACCCCCAATTTCCTTAAACAAAACCATCACCGCCAGGTGGTGTCTCCACACACGCGCTTTGGGGCACCACCCCTGGCAGCCCCCGCACCGGCACAGGGGTTTCTCTCCCAGCGCCCTGGCCAGGCCCTGGTTGCAGCAGAAGGGCAGAGAGACAAGGGGTGAGTGCCCCAGAGGCCAGGTGGGGAGCCGACTCCTCAGGAGGTGAGGTGAGGAGGGGCTGGTGTCCCCGCACCTGGAGTCACCAGCTGAGGCAGAGCTTCCTCAAAGGGAAGAGCCACAAGGTGTCTCCCCACCCCCGCAACCCGCTTCTCACCGTTTCTTGTTGCTCAATCTCTCCCTCCCTCTGCTCTCCCTCCCTCCATCCCTCCCGCTATCCCTCCCCTCCCTCTTTGTCTGCCTCTTCCTCACCTCAGCCTTTTGGAACACCCAGCCTTCTGGAGCCCGGCTCGGACGCTGCAGCGGCCAGCTCCCCGGGGACCCCGGCCCCGCGCCCCCGCCCGGCCCCTCCCCTGCCCGGCCTGCCCAGCTGCGGGTCTCACCCAGAAGAGCAGGTTGAAGCCCAGCAGCAGGTACTTGATGCACCGCAGACCCCCGCGGAAGCGCCCCATGCTGCGGCCCCGGCGGCGGGATCCCGTGTCCCCAGGCCCGCGCTCGGAGCGCCGGGAGCGGCGGGAGCCGGCGGGGAGGGGGCGGAGCGCGAGGGGCCGTGGGCGGGGCCTTCGGGGGGCGGGGCGGAGGGGCGGGGCCAGAGCCGGGCGCTGGGCGGGAGCCGGCCCGGGAGGACCCCGAGAGTCTGGCGTGGGGTGGGGGCGCAGAGAGCGCGGAGATCTGGCGGCCGGAAGGACGCGTCCCGGGCTCTGCCCCGGTAACGCCGGGTGCGTTCTGCTGGTGCCGGGCCCCGCGGGCGCAGCGCCCTCGGGGCTTCTGCGGGCATCTGCCGGGAAGGAGCGTCCGCTGGGGACCCGAGACCCATTTAATCAGCGCCCTGTGCGGAGACTCATTTGAGGCCTGCGGTGGCGGTGGAGAATGAGGACTTGGCCCCAGTGGCTATGGAAACCTAGGAAGGTGGCCTCGGGTAGAAGAGCAAAGTAGGATCCGGGGCTGCCCTGAAGCTGGCAGTACCCGTCGCGGGGCACCCGGCCGGGGTCTGTGCTCCCCTGGCTCCGGGCGAGCTCACAGGCCGCGGGGTCCCTTCTGGGGGACCCTCCGCCGGTCCCTCCCTCTCTCCTCCGAGAAATCTTACCTTAATAGGCAAGAACTGGCAGAAGGCGCGGGATGAGGCTGCTCTGCGCCCTGACGGCTGCTCCCCACCCTGCTCCGCCTAGCCAGCGGAGGGGAGTCAGGGTCTCCCTCGGGTCCCTCTGCATTCGACTGATGGGAGGGCTTGGAAAGGAGTTCAGATCCTCGGGGATTATTGTGATGTGGAGATGGGAGAAAAGGGGGCGGGTTTTGTTTTGCTCTGTTTCATTAAGTTAGGCTGCTGGCTGGGAAACCAGGCTCCCGCTCCCCATTGACTAAGTGTCTGCAATATGTGGTGCCAGACGGCGTGGGGGCGACAACAGAGTGTAAAATCCAGGGATGCTATGCATCACTTCAGCAAGCCTTTAAGTGCTGATTCCAGGCTGGGCATAGTAGCAAGCCCCAGGGACTCCAGCATGAGGAGACAGCCGTGCCTGGCAGCATCATCTCTGGTGGGAGAAAGAGAGCTGTAAGCACGTAAATAGAGCAGGATAAGGACGCTGGGCAAGGTGCTGGCCACCACAGCCTGACCGCACCTCACCAGACAGAGGAGACTTCACTGAGAAGCGTGGGCCTCACTTGGTCTCCAGGAATGAGCACAGAGGACAAGCAGTCGGGACAGAAGGGACAGCATGTGCAGAAGCATAACGCTGGAGAGACCACAGACCACCACCTGGAACTAGGAGAAATGTAGTTAACTCAAGTGAAGCAGACAGGAGGTGAGTCTGGGAGGTGTTGGGCATAGCTTTCATCTGACAAAGGTGCAAAACTACCCTTGAGCCACAGTTTCCTCATCTGCCACGTGGAGATCATGGTACCTACTTCATAGAGTTGTGAAAATCAAGGAGTTCCTATTTGTAGAGTGCCTTGAAGGGTGCCTGGCACAGAATAAGTGCTCTAGAAAGCTTAACTATTATCACATGGCATTCTATCAATCAGTGAGTTTTGGGGTGCCTGGATTGGATGGCTCAATCAGTTAAGTGTTTGTCTTCCACTCAGGGGATCAGGCCCCACATTGGGTTCCCTGCTTAGTGGGGAGCCTTCTTCTCCCTCTGCCTCTGCCTCTGCCTGCCGCTCCCTCTGCTTGTGTTCTCTCTCTCTGCCGAATAAATAAACAAAATCTTTAAAAAAAAAAATCAACCAGTTTTGACCATGTTGCCATCTTTGCCTCCATCTGTGCCTTTAGACATATGTTTGAATATCTAATGAATTTTATTTATGAAAATGAGAAGACAGAAACATGAAAGTGCTGATGCTGGTGATAAGAATAAGTCTTAAATAGTGCAATAGAGAAAAAGATGGAAGTCCTTAGGTATGCAGAAAGTGGCAGATAGCTTCAATTGAACACTGTTCTAGATCTGTCATCTCTGTTCTATTATAAAGGAAAAGAACTAAAGTATAGTGTCTAATACATAGTGGGCATTCAGTAAATCTCTGAACTGAATGAACAACAATGATATTAACCTTTAAATATATTGTTAAACTTACGTCTCCAAGATAAAATAACATTTAGAGATGATATATTCTCTAGTCTCTGGGAAAAGATCCCTTATTATAATATGTAAACCTATTGTTCTTTCATACTACAGTTTTAGCACAAATGTATTAAAGACAGATGGCTGTCTGCCTAGCACAACAGGTTTGGATTTTGAGTATCGACTTCCCCAGCTCCTCCCTCTAGGAAGTTGTGTCTTAAGGGAGTTGATCCTTGACAGGACTGGGGCACTCTGACCAGGCAGTTCCAGGAGTATATTATTAAGGAAACTGCAGGACTACGTTACATAACATACTAAGGAAGTTAGCCTTTAAACTAGGTGTTAGGCAAAGCCACAGATAACATCTAGTCAGGGGATAAGATGGTTAGATGTCTGTTTTTAGAATGGTCAAGCTGGGGCCACATGGAGGATGGTTTGAAGTTAAGACTTGAGACTAAGAGACGGTTAGAGCAGTTCAGGGAGGAAATGAGAACATAAACCAAGACAGTGGCAGTGGGTATGGGAAGGAGGCTCAGATGTGAGAGAGATTCAAAGACTGAGAAAAGATCCAAACAGTGGATATGAGGAGTAGAGGGGAAAGAGAGCTAAGGATAACTCCTGGGGCTCCTTACTTGGGTGACTAGTCAGGTCCTGGGACTGTAAACACAGATGAGGGGTATAGGAGGTGGAGCGGGCTGGGAAGAATGTTACAGATACTGTAGGCAGGTTCACCCATCACTCAATCCTACATTGAATTTAGAGGATAAGGAAGTTAAGTACTTGCCTCCTGGTTTCCTTTGCAGCTAGGGCAACAGTCTGATTAATGGGATTTATGGGGAAGTCTGCTGGGAGGCTTCTGGAAAATCTGAAGCTGTGTTGATAAAGTTCAGTTGTCACTGGCATTGCTTCCTTCCCCCTTTTCCTATCTTGAACTCAGACATGATGCCTGGAGACGCAGAACACTTTGTGACTATGAGGGAAGGCAAAGGGAATGGTAGACCTGTTAGCCAGGAGATGAACTAACACCAGCAGCCGCCTACCTCCAGATCTCTTGTTACATAAGAGAAATCACCCTTGTTTTGTTTGTTCTATTCTGTTACTTGTAGCTGATGGTATTTCTAACTGACACAGGAAGACAATAAATTCATGTTTGGATTTGTTGAGTTTTAGAACTGATGGGAAATCCAGATGGAGCATTCCAGGAGACAGATGGAAAGATGACTGAGATTCTGGAGAGAGGTTTGGGCTGTAAGTTTAGGTTAAAGATTCATTAACAAATGGTGATGACAGAAACCAATGGTCTTCAAATTTTTACCCATATATGCCTTAAAGAATTATGAAAAAAAATTATTTGTACATGTTCCCCAATATTTTGTGTGAATATATTTTTTTAAAGATTCTATTTATTTATTTGACAGACAGAGATCACAAGTAGGTAGAGAGTCAGGCAGAGAGAGAGGAGGAAGCAGGCTCCCTGCTGAGCAGAGAGCCCAATGTGTGGCTTGATCCCAGGACCCTGGGATCATGATCTGAGCTGAAGGCAGAGGCTTTAATCCACTGAGCCACCCAGGTGCCCCTGTTGTCAATATCTTCAAACAAACAGAAAAGTTGAAATTGAACAGTGAACAACATATACACACCACTTAGATTCCACTATAAACATTTTGTTTTAGTTCTATCTGTCCATTTGGCAATCTTATTTTTTATACATTTCCAAATAAATTCTTGACACCAATACATTTCACCCCTAAATTCCTCAGCATACATAACATGATTGAGAGTTCATATATTTGTTTATAGTTTTTCTTTTTTTCTTGAGATAAAATTTACCTTAATGAAATTTAAACATCTTAAGTACACCATTTGATGATTTTTGACAAACACTTTTGCCTTTCTAACCTCAAACTCTGTTAAGGTATAGAACATTGCTATCACCCTAGAAAGTTCCCTTGAACCCTTTTACAGTCGGTCTATACCACCATCTATAGCACCAAACACTGTTCTGATTTTTTTCATGATTAATTTTCCCTGTTCTGTAACATCATAAAAGTGAAATTGTACAGTATTTACCCTCATTTATTTTTCAACCGACATACAAAATTCTTTAATTTTAAGTTTGCAAAAGATGTTGTTTCTAATGTATTTTAAATATTGACATTAAAAAAATGGTCATGTTCCTCATTTTAATGCACCCAGGAGAAATTTAGTGTCAGTGTGATCTGCTACCTACCATCATCCATTTGTTTTTATGTATCAGGTTTAGTGCTTGACATGACAACAGGAAATTTTTGATCAACACTTGTAGATGGCGAGCTCTCAATTTTTAAATATTTCTCGTTGATGAGAAACTTGACTCAAATAATTTTTTATTGAGGTGCAATGGATGCACAACATTATATGAGTTTCAAGTGTACAACATGATTTGTTATTTGTACATATTCATTAGCCACATGAAAAAGTCTGAATAAACACCTCTTTACCTGAGCGAAAGTTTGACATCTTTTTTTTTTCTCCTTGAACTTGTATTTCCATTCCATCTTTTCCATGAAATGTAATCCTAAAGTAATTTTTATGCTTGAAACGTTTCTCTTGAATCTTTATACTTGCCTGAACAAATATTATTATCTTTTTTTTATTTTTTATTTTTTTATTAACATATAATGTATTACTTGTTTCAGTGGTACAGGTCTGTGAATCATCATTCTTTCACAATTTACAACGCTCACCATAGCACATATCCTCCCCAATGTCCATCACCCAACCACCCCAACCCTCACACCCACTGCCCCTCCAGCAACCCTCAGTTTGTTTTCTGAGATTAAGAGTCTCTCATGGTTTGTCTCCCTCTCTGGTCCCATCTTGTTTCATTTTTCCCTCCATTAACCCCACAACCCCCTGCCCTGCCTCTTAAATTCCTCATATCAGGGAGATTATATAATAACTGTCTTTCTCTGATTGACTTATTT